TGGAGTCTCCCCTCCCTCCCCCCAGTTGTAGCACCAGAGAGAGCATCCATGTACACCGACTCCCAGCCCCCTGTGTTGTGGAGACCTATGCACAGCAGGCTGAGTCAGCATGTGGTAGTTAAAATGCTGTGGTCCTTCTTAGACTAGAGCCTTTCCCCTGACAGAGCCAGACGGTGGTAGCAATGGCGGGAAACTTTAAGCCCGTGATGTCCAATCAGTTCTGCTACAGAACTAGCCACGCTCAACTAGCCAAATAACCACATGTGGCTAGTGACTAGCGTGTTGGTCTTCAAGCTGATGTGACAGAAGATGGATGTGATTCTAAGGCCTGTTCTGACAGACTAGCCAGGGCACTGCACTGCACAGTAGAATTTACTTTGCCCTTGAAAGTTATCTTTTGCTGTGTGGGTGTGATGAGGGATTTAGCAGTCGTTCAATAGCTGTCAAAAGCAGTGTGTCCAAGACAATCCAGAAAGCCCAGCTGCACAGAAAGGAAAGGATCAATTCTGTTCCTAGCCGTTTTTTTTGCCTGCAGATCGCTTGGTAAATATAAGATAATTCTCAGGGAACCACACTGGTCCATGTGAGACTGGCTTTAAATTAACATCTGGGATACTCCCCAAAAAAGAGAAGCCGGGAATCTGGTTTTTCCGATTTTGCTTCTCCTGGCTGGGAGCTGTCGTTTTACCTCTTTATTGCTGTCACGTCATCGTTATTTATTAACATCCTATCGGCACTGGGCTTTTCAACAGATTAAAATGAAAACACGAATGAAATTAACTGATTCTTTGGGAGGAAGGGAGAGCAGCATCTGTATTTTCCATTGTTAAATTAGATTTAAGGGCTTTTTTTTTTTTTAACATCCATTGTTAAATTAGATTTAAGGGCTTTTTTTTTAACACGGAGAAGCAGTGACTGCCAAGTGTGTTAAGCGATCTTTAAAACCTTTGTCTGGTGCCAAATACCAGAAAGCTGAGGCATAGTGTTTGTGCCACATAGCTTTCATTTGGAGTCGGTGTGGTAAGGAAGCGATGCAAACCTAATTAAAGCTAGAGCTGCTACGGTAATGATCGTCTACATGTGTAATGCCCTACTGGTACCACATGGGGGCAGCATGGATAGAACCAGGATCTTTTGCTCCAAATTCTGGGTGTCTACCATGTTCCCAATGCATAACTCGGTTAGCTAGTAGCTGTAGTCGTCTCTTATCCTCCGTGGATTGGCCACCAGAGGGGGATATGTTGCTCATCGCTACTTTGGTACTTTTGAATGCAATTTCTGGCATGCAGGGGCTAGCAGATATAAGCCTAAGCCATGAAATAGCTACCTTCTCCCTTGCACCGACTCACCTTTCACAAGGAGCAGACGTCCTCACAAATGACCCCTGGAATGTGAGCAATGGCTATGGATTCTGTGTACACATGGCTTCCAGAGGACATGGACCGTCTCAAGGGACGTCTCTTGGGCTTTATCTTGGAGAGGCTGATGCAGTTCTTCTGGCGACTCCTTAGATACTCTTTATAGTTCTTGGAGAGCAGCGTGTAAAGGAAAGGGTTAATGCAGCTGTTGCTGTAGGCCAGGCAGGTCACGACGAAATTGACATAGACCACGGTGTTGCTGGTGAGGTTCCCTGGCTGGTAGTAGTAGATGCTGAGCAGCTGCCAGAGCCAGAAAGGTATGAAACAAGCCCAATAGGTGAGGACGATGCTGAATATCATGTACAGGACTTTCTGCTTGGGGCACCGGTTCGTTTCCCTGGTGGTGAAGACAGATGTCTGAGATCGCCAGTAGGTCTTGGCCAGCTTAATGTACAAGTAGCAGATAATGAGCCCAGGGGCTAGGATGCAGGTGTTAAAAAGGATGGTGAGGTACACTTTGTAGGTCTCCATCTGCCACGTGGGGTGGCATATGCGCTTGGTCACCCCGTCCTGGTCACTCGTCCTGAGGTCTATGAGGATCATAGTTGGGAGGGCAAGAAGAAAGGACACCAGCCACACCAGGCAGGTGATCGTCCTGCGGTAGTCTCTGGTTCTCCCAATGGTGTCTAATGGCTTGACTACGGCTAGGTATCTTTCCGTGCTCATGATGGTGAGGATGAAGATGCTGGCGTGCATGGTGAGAAGGTCCAAGCTGAACAGGATCCTGCACCCAACATCTCCAAAATACCAGTCCTTCACAAAGTACGTGCAGACCACAAAGGGGATGGTCGATAGGTACAAGAGATCCGCCAGTGCCAGGTTGACGATATAAATATACATCGAGCCAGTGAATCTCATGGAGAGGTTCATCACCACCAATGTGTAGATGTTGCCAACTATGCCCACCAGGCACATCACAGCCAGGATGCACCCCAGCAAGGAGGTAACCAGGACGTCACTGGTGCCAGCAAGCACTCCCAACGTGGCATTGGCATGATCCGTGGCGTTCTTAGGGGGGCAGGGCACAGAAGTACATTGCCCCAGCTCCATCTCCCTGCAATTATGGATTTTTTTCCTGTCCCAAAACCTAATAATAGATTCACTTAACTCAGGAGATGTCGCGTTGAGATGCTGTCATCAGACATGCAGACAGATTCCATGCAGCTGAGCAGAAAAGACTGTGTTAGACACAATACAACAGCCCCGTAATATAATTCTAGTAACAGCATCATTCAATCTGATTTTTTTTGTGTGGGTGCCCACAAATTTGCAACCTCTAAATAACAATCGCCACTGCCCCTCAGCTGTACGTTATTTCATCGTGCAACAGCAGCCTTCAAGGACCGCAGATGGAAGTGAAGATAGGAGTCAGTTACCTGTGGACAGCGGTGTCCAAGTCCAAAGGTGAAAGCCTTACTGTAGATTAGCGCTGTGGCAGGCAGGTAGATGAGGAAGTGGAAATAGTCTGTTCTGTTGGAAATAATCCTGGTGCAGCTGTCGGTCCGAGCTATTCTCCTTTCTCATGAAAATTCAAGCATTGAATTACTCCCATTGCCTTCTAAGTGCTTCTGGTGACACTGGAGGCTTTTAGGGTGACAGCGAAGGGACTGAAGCTGCGAGCAAGAGTTGCTCTTCTCCAGACCTGGCCAAAGTTGCATGGCAGGTGAAATTACAGATAATTGGGGACCGGAGTGCTGTGCGATAGGAGCGGATATCCTCAGCGAGACAGAGAGAGATGTGAGGACGACTTGCTCTCCTTACAGATGCTGGAATGTAAATGGGAAGCAGGGTTGTTTTAATGCCAAGGCAGATCTTAGCTGCTGTTACGAAAGATAAGGCTGGACCGCAGAGGGGTCCATGCCAGTCCCCAGTGAGGTCTGGGCTGAGAGCAGAGCTGGGCTGATCTGACTCCACTCTCTCCCCATGCTGCTAAATCCATGCATTTCCCAAGCACTGGAGCTGGACGGGGGTGGGATCTGTAGCTCTGACAGCTCCCCAGGGGTGGGATTTGTCCCTTTTCCCAAGAGGAGGTAAAACCAGCACTGGCACTTTTCTCCCAGCAGGACTCATGCCCACACTTGGCACCTCCTGCCCTCTTGCTCTCTTAGCACTGGGGGGAAGGGGTTGAGCTTTGCCTCTATTTCTATAGGGAGATCTTTGCTCCTTTCTTTCGCAGCTGTTGCACTGTAATTTTAATTTTGCACAGTTCTTTATTCGTGCGTCAAAGGGGGCGCTGAGAGGCTAATTCCACTGTGTAGGATGCACATCCCCTCAATTGATTTGGGCATGGCTGGGGAGCTATTTGTAAAACTGCTGCCTCGCTCAGGACGGAGAGGTGTTCCTCCTGCAGCTGGAGAGCGTGTGCCAGGAAAAGTGAGCAGAGAAGCATGGAAGGATAAAAAGGAAATGCTGTCCAATGCCTCATTTCTCAAATGGGAGGGCCGTAAAAAAATCCAGAGAAAGCAAATGGCACAGCCCGAGCTAACGGCGGAATGAACCAAGTGTAATCGCTTAGACTTCCACTGTGCCTTTTATTCCAAAAGGCTGCCAAACCAAATGAGATGAAAATCCTCTTGCTTTTGCAATGCAGCCACTTCTGGGGTGGAGGGCATCAGCTGCTTGACATGCTCAGCAACCGCATAGAACGGTCCAGGAGAGGATATGGAGAAGGAAAATGCTGTATCTGATTGCAGCTGCTGTTTAATCACATGATGTGTTGTCATCCCAAGATGTATGTTGGCAGGATACTGGGGCTCCCAACTCTGACAAGACTATCAGGTACCTCCTGGATCATAAAGCTCTCCTGCTTGAGTTGGCCCTAGCGAAGAGACCCTCCCCGAAGTAGTGCTGCCATTGGGCTGTATTCACTCTGGTGCTGAGGAGATCTGACTGCAGCTGGGCAAGGAAGAGGTAAGAACTGCATTTCCCCCACATGTATTAGTCTGAGGGGTCGCTGTGTTGTTCTGTATCTGTAAAAATGACGTGGAGTCTGGTGGCACCTTCGAGACTAACAGAGTTATTCGGGCATAAACTTTCATGGGTAAAACCCACTTCATCAGATGAATTGGAGTGGAGTTTACAGAGGCAGGGGTGTATCTATATAAGGGCAACAAAAGAAAAGGGTTGCTTGTGTGAGGCTAGTCAAGTCAGGGTGGAAGGGGCTCATTGACAGCAGCTGATGTGGAAATGTGGCTATTGAGAGAGGGGAAATTGCCTTTGTAATGGGTTAACCAGCCACGATCCTTATTTCCCCTCTTGATAGCCACATTTCCACATCAGCTGCTGAGAGGCCAAGCTGTGATGTCCGGAAAGCTGTCTCTAGAAGGTTAGAGCAACCTGAGCTAGCGAGGCCAGAAGTGTCTGGGCTGCAGAGTTGACTTTTCCGGGTGTGACTGTGCCCCAGGGAGGGGGGAAGAGGAGAACAGCAGCTGTAGGAAGTAGGGGAGAAAGAGGGAGCAATTCCTTCCCTCCTCTCAACACCCATGAGGGTTCACTTTTCCTGCTCACTGGGTGTCTGGTAACCCAGCAGGCAGCCTCTAGTGACCCATATGCAGCTATCTCCCTACCAGCTCAGAATGCCCGACCCAGCCTTGGGCTACCTGATTTTTTATTCGTATGACCAGATCACCCAAAAGCCCCCATCTCAGCCTCCTGTTGCACTACGCGCTGTACAAACACTGAACAGAGAGACAGTCTCCTGCCCCGCAGGGTTCACAACCCAAGTCAGAGTGAGCACAATCTGCCAGCAGCTGGATTTTCCACGCACTGGCTTTTCTGAACACCGTCTCCTCGTGGGCTCATCCCAGGACTGGAAGCCAGCAAGGAGCACGTTGGCATCTTCTCAACACTGGGCTCTACCCAAAAGCAGCTCCTGGACTCCATGTCCACAGCTGTAACCTACAGCGGATTCTATCAGCAAATGCCCTGCTCTCAGCCGGAAGCAGATTGCAAAGTAGCTGTGCTGGGCAAGGAATGGAGCCCCTGTTTCTTCCTTAGCACCCTCGCCCGCTCCAGCTGCTGCCAGGCCCCTGCAAGCAGAGGCATCTCAGTAGCTCTGAGGCTGGGCAGACCATTTCCTCCCCTTCTGGTGGGATTTCACTGCTTGAATCTGCCGGACGCATGAGACGAGGGGATATGGCTGGAGGGAATTTCTCCTGCTGGGAGTTAATGGGTCCAGGTTTCGTTACTGTGCCACATTCAGAATGCTCCGTTGTCGTGTGCTCAAGGTCGGCGGTTCTCAGCTGCGGTCCGCGGGCTGCTTGCGGCCCAATCAGCACGCAGCTGCGGCCCATGTGACATCCCCGGAGCCCTACAGGTGGACACGACCCACTAACACAGAGAGAGCGGCCTGTGCAGCTCACAGTAGTAAACAGATTGAGAACTCCTGTCCTAGTCAATTAACCTTTCAAGGCCCAGGCACTCTGGCGTCCGATGGTTGCCAGACTCACCCGCCCGTTGGGCTGTCTGGGTCTGTTCCATCGGTCAGAGACGGGACAGAACCGAATCCCCTGATCCAGTCCCACCTCTTGGATTTATTCTTTTCCAGGCTGATCCATGGCTCTAGGTGCACCGGCGAGCCCACAGCTCTCTCCTCACTTCAGCGCTGACACCACTGGCCCTTCCTGATGGGCTCGGCAAAAGGCTACGAACAGAGCCGGCCTTAGGATATATGGGGCCCTACACTGTATTATTAAGCTGGTGCCCTTAGGCCTTGTGAGGGGACATCAGCTTTTTAGAGAGGTGATTTTATAACCTTCAGCAACACGCTGGCAAAAATAGTTTTAAAGCAAATTTCAAATGAAGGGCCTGTCGACTAACACTGCCGTAAATTCAGAAACTGGCAGGACAGAGCTGGGGTTGGTAAGTGCCCGCTAAAGGGCTTCATTGCCACTTGAATGGCTCCTCCACCGCGTCAGTGTTCTGCTGCCAGGGCTGGCTCGTTCAAGGAGGAACCAGCGCGGCGCTAGGCGCACAGTACGCGCTGCATTTCGCCGCCAGCATTTGTGACGCGCGGCTGAATCTCACTGTGCCCGGTCTCAGTGGGATTCTGGCCCCTAGGCCAGCCTGCCGATCTCGCAACTACACTCAAGGCTTCTCCCTCGAAGGAGCTCAGCGCACCCACCCCTGCACAGAACTCTCCAGCTGTAATCCACAGCACGGCTGGATAGAGAGGCAGAGCCTTCGGCAAGTGCTACCCGCCCCGCACGACTGCGCGGCCACTTCAGCATCCAGGCACTCTGCTCTCTGCTGACCTGACTATCGGGTTTGCGGGGCTTGTTTTTGACAAGGCCCTGGAACCACGTTGTTTGAAAGCCTCCCAGGGCGTGAACCCCACTTCTGTCTCATTGGCAGTGGCTTTGAGCTCAGCACTGACCAGGCTGAATGAGGGATGCATGCTGGCGGGGATGAATGCCGGCGTGGCATAGTCATGCCTTGCGAGCCCCTTTTCCTCATTTCAAGCCCCGTGTTAATCACTGAGCCCCAGCCATGCTCCTTGATACTCCTCCTCTGCTGCAACCGGGCAGCTGAATTCATAAGCTCCATCCTCACGTTCCCGCCATCCAAGGATGGCAGATCCATTGTACCCAGGCCCCCTTGCTCTGCTGCATTGTTCCTGTAACTGCAGCCACTGACGAATTGGACCACCAGTGTGGCCCAGTGGAGCCCTGGCCTATAGCGTGTGACAGGCCAGGCCATAAAGAGCCGCCTCTCAGCAGCATTAGCACAGCCGGGCCTTGGTCCCGGCTGGACGTATGACTGGCTGCAGAGCGGAAAGGGGCATGGTCATGGGAGACTCGCGTGTCCAGGAATGGGGCGAACTCCTGTGGATCTCAGGCCATGTGTACATACATCAGGCCTTCCCCATTGGCTCCAGCATGGCGGTTTCCCTCCCTGTGTCCCCTCTGCCATGCAATAAAGTGATGGAGGGGGAAGTACTGCCCCTGCAGTAGTAAGTCACCGCCCAGAGATGGCAGCTAGCTGCATAGAATGAAGTGTAATGCTTGTGTGCAGGGGCTTCCACTTGCTCAGAAGAGCCAGCGACAATAGCGACTTTTCCCTCTGAACTGCCCCCTCCAGGCCTGGCTGGGGGCTCTCCTCTAGGGGTCGGTCTGAACATCCCCAGCACATAACGTCAGCTCAGCCACAGCTTTTTAGCAACAGCCTCTTCTAACAGCACCCAAGCAAAGAACCCTCCCATGGAGCCAGGGATGCGCATGTTTAAGATGGAAGCAATGTTGCACCCTGGCAGCTACAATATAAGAGCAACCACCTGGGAGCCCTGCTGCCGTCTTTAGTGTTTGGTCCAGCATGAGCTGGGTTTCCCCGCTGCACGAGCTATGCAGCAGCCTCTCCCTCCGGTTGGAGGTTTGACGAAGGTGTGACAACAAGATGCCATGAAACAGAAAACAAAAGACGAGACAAAGGAGAGAGGACACCGACCCAGGACAGCCCCCTGGCCTGCATGACCAGTCCCTGAAACGGCACCTCTGTGTCTCACGTCCGCTTTCTCTGGACACAGGGCTCCACGTGAGCTCCCATTGTTCACCATATTCCTCTGACACACGTGACCCTTCCCACCCCCAAAGATCCTGGATCCCTATTGGCAGAAACAAGTACCTTTCAGTCTTACAGAGTCTGGTTCACTTGTGTTCTGTTGCGCAGCGATGGGACGACGTATGGATGGGCCCACGGAATGGGGCGGATAGGAGGAGAAAGAAGCCCCTTGTGGAACAATCCTGTTGAACCGAATGGGCCTGAAACCAATGGGGAGGGGGGTCATAGAAATGCAGTGGGGCTCTGTCAAAATCCCTCACAAAACCCTAGAGGAGTTAATAGAGAATAGGACCTCGAGTGTTTTTGAAGCATCCTTTAGAATATTGTAACACTGATAAAATTCTCTATTACTGGTTGCTTCAAAAACCCTACAGACAGGTGGTAATTCTCTCTTGAATCCCCTAGGCTCCTTCACAAGGAGGGGAG